TTTGTTGTATGTAGGTGTGTAGGGTCAGTAGATAATACTGACTCTATTGTATGTAGGTGTGTAGAGTCAGTAGATACTACTGACTCTATTGTATGTAGGGTGTGTAGAGTTAGTAGATACTACTGACTCTGTTGTATGTAGGTGTGTAGAGTCAGTAGATACTACTGACGCTATTGTATGTAGGGTGTGTAGAGTCAGTAGATACTACTGACTCTGTTGTATGTAGGTGTATAGAGTCAGTAGATACTACTGACTCTAGTGTAAGTAGGTGTGTAGAGTTAGTAGATACTACTGACTCTAGTGTAAGTAGGTGTGTAGAGTCAGTAGATGCTACTGACTCTATTGTATGTAGGTGTGTAGACTCAGTAGATACTACTGACTCTAGTGTATGTAGGTGTGTAGAGTCAGTAGATACTACTGACTCTATTGTATGTAGGTGTGTAGAGTCAGTAGATACTACTGATTCTATTGTGTGTAGGTGTGTAGAGTTAGTAGATACTACTGACTCTATTGTATGTTGGGTGTGTAGGGTCAGTAGATACTACTGACTCTATTGTATGTAGGGTGTGTAGAGTTAGTAGATACTACTGACTCTATTGTATGTAGGGTGTGTAGAGTTAGTAGATTCTACTGACTCTATTGTATGTAGGTGTGTAGAGTTAGTAGATACTACTGAATCTATTGTATGTAGGGTGTGTAGAGTTAGTAGATGCTACTGACTCTATTGTATGTAGGGTGTGTAGAGTTAGTAGATACTACTGTCTCTATTGTATGTAGGTGTGTAGAGTTAGTAGATACTACTGAATCTATTGTGTGTAGGGTGTGTAGGGTCAGTAGATACTACTGACTCTATTGTATGTAGGATGTGTAGAGTTAGTAGATACTACTGACTCTATTGTATGTAGGTGTGTATAGTTAGTAGATACTACTGACTATATTGTATGTAGGGTGTGTAGAGTTAGTAGATACTACTGACTCTATTGTATGTAGGGTGTGTAGAGTCAGTAGATACTACTGACACTGTTGTATGTAGGTGTGTAGAGGTAGTAGATACTCCTGACTCTATTGTATGTAGGTGTGTAGGGTAAGTAGATACTACTGACTCTATTGTATGTTGGTGTGTAGAGTCAGTAGATACTACTGACTTTGTTGTATGTAGGTGTGTAGGGTCAGTAGATACTACTGACTCTATTGTATGTAGGTGTGTAGGGTCAGTAGATACTAATGACTCTATTGTATGTTGGTGTGTAGAGTCAGTAGATACTACTGACTTTGTTGTATGTAGGTGTGTAGGGTCAGTAGATAATACTGACTCTATTGTATGTAGGTGTGTAGAGTCAGTAGATACTACTGACTCTATTGTATGTAGGGTGTGTAGAGTTAGTAGATACTACTGACTGTTGTATGTAGGTGTGTAGAGTCAGTAGATACTACTGACGCTATTGTATGTAGGGTGTGTAGAGTCAGTAGATACTACTGACTCTGTTGTATGTAGGTGTGTAGAGTCAGTAGATACTACTGACTCTAGTGTAAGTAGGTGTGTAGAGTTAGTAGATACTACTGACTCTAGTGTAAGTAGGTGTGTAGAGTCAGTAGATGCTACTGACTCTATTGTATGTAAGTGTGTAGACTCAGTAGATACTACTGACTCTAGTGTATGTAGGTGTGTAGAGTCAGTAGATACTACTGACTCTATTGTATGTAGGGTGTGTAGAGTTAGTAGATACTACTGACTCTATTGTATGTAGGGTGTGTAGAGTTAGTAGATACTACTGACTCTATTGTATGTAGGTGTGTAGAGTTAGTAGATACTACTGAATCTATTGTATGTAGGGTGTGTAGGGTCAGTAGATACTACTGACTCTATTGTATGTAGGTGTGTAGAGTTAGTAGATACTACTGACTCTATTGTATGTAGGGTGTGTAGAGTCAGAAGATACTACTGACTCTGTTGTATGTAGGTGTGTAGAGTCAGTAGATACTACTGACGCTATTGTATTTAGGGTGTGTAGAGTCAGTAGATACTACTGACTCTGTTGTATGTAGGTGTGTAGAGTCAGTAGATACTACTGACGCTATTGTATGTAGGGTGTGTAGAGTTAGTAGATACTACTGACTCTAGTGTAAGTAGGTGTGTAGAGTCAGTAGATGCTACTGACTCTATTGTATGTAGGTGTGTGTAGAGTCAGTAGATACTACTGACTCTAGTGTATGTAGGTGTGTAGAGTCAGTAGATACTACTGACTCTATTGTATGTAGGTGTGTAGAGTCAGTAGATACTACTGACTCTAGTGTATGTAGGTGTGTAGAGTCAGTAGATACTACTGACTCTATTGTATGTAGGTGTGTAGAGTCAGTAGATACTACTGACTCTATTGTATGTAGGTGTGTAGGGTCAGTAGATACTACTGACTCTATTGTATGTGAGTGTGTAGGGTCAGTAGATACTACTGATTCTATTGTATGTAGGCTGTGTAAGGTCAGTAGATACTACTGACTCTATTGTATGTAGGTGTGTAGAGGCAGTAGATACTACTGACTCTATTGTCAGTAGGGTGTGTAGGCATACATGCCTACAAAATAAATATATTTTGGGCGGGGCGCCAATTGTTGGTAACCCTGTTGAATCAACTTTTTGCCCCCACATCTGAGTCGAGTCCACTTCCTAGAACTTTTTAATTCAGGTCTTCTGAGAGGCTCTTATCATTTAGTTGACGCCGGGCTTTTAGTAATAGATAATTGTGTGTCCCCCTGTGTGAATGTTAATGCGTGCGAGTGTGCCTGTGTATGAATGTTCATGTGTGTGTGTGGATACTTGTGTATGTGGCCTATAATAGAATACCTCCGGAATGAGCCCGAACTCGTGAGATTTCGGAAGCTAAGCAGGTTTTAGCCTGGAGTGTCACGTGATTAGTGACCACTCCATCCACAAACAGGTTGCGCGCTGGGCAGTGCTGCAAAATAATGCGTACTGTACTTCTATGCTCCCACCGTCTATGTCTCCCGCACTAACCAGCGTGGTGAAGTATGGTCAAATAACCCCTACAGCCGGTATAGCGCGGGGAGACACCCCCCCCCCCCCCATTCAGCAAAGCAGTGCGTGTGCGTGTTCACGGGTGATGTTCATGTTTGTGTATGTGCGTGAATGTGTGACTATGAATGTGTGTGTGTGTCTATCTGTGTGTGTGTCTATCTGTGTATGCTAATGCAATCCTAAACGGCAGATCTTGATCTACAGTACTGTATTTGTCTATGGGTGTGTGTGTATGTATTGTGCTCTTTGGACGTGAATGTGTGCGCGTGTGTGGTTGACAACGGTCTGTTAAGGCTATAGGGGGATCTTTGTCTTTGATGGGGTGCGGTAGTGCAGAGGTCAGTGCGCTGCGCTACGAACCCGGCGACCCCAGTGACGATTATCTGAACCCGTGCTGGTTCTCCCCTAGGTCGACTCAGCCTCAAATGAGTTCCCGGTGCGGTGTGTAAACATCGCCACTGGGGAGACAAAGGTGTCCGGGCGTGGTGCTGGCCACCCACCCCCTCGTGTGCCGTGCCGGCCTTAATAGGTGCTCGCTAATATTTTCCCCAACAGTCTATATGGGCTACGCGAGAGATGATGTTATACGTCTGCCCAGCCGCTATTGTCTGCCGACAGCTTACGTTTAAACACCGTACGAGGTACTCATTTAAGGCCGAGTCGACCTAGGGGAGGCCCAACCCCGGTTCATATGTCACTTTCCATTGATATGAACCGCGGCTGGGAATTTAACTCAGGTGGCTGGGTTTGTAACGCACGGCGCTAACCACTGCACCACCGCTCCCCTTTGTCTTTGTTACGCGCAACAGACAAAGATGCCCCGTATAGCCTCAAGCGACTACGTACGGTGCTGGGGTAAGAGCTGTCAGCGAAGGCCGACACGGCAGACGAGGGGATGGGTGGCCAGCACCACCCCCGACTGCCTTTGTCTCCCCAGTGGCGATGTGTAGACATCGAACCAGGTACTCATTCGAGGCCGAGTCGACCTAGGGGTGGACCAGCACCGGTTCAGATCATCGTCACTGGGGTTGGGCCGTGAGCGGGAATCGAACTCGGGTCGCCGGGTTCGTAGCGCAGCACGCTGACCGCTACACCACCGCTCCCCTCCCCCCCACATTGTTACAAAGACAAGCACACAGGCGTGCACACACAGAACAACATCCACACACACAGACACACGCACCCATTACAACCACACACAACCACACGGCCACAAGAAGACAAAGACACCCTCCCAGTGCAGTCTGCTCCAGGCTGAAGGAACCTGTTAGCGAGTCGCAGCAGCAGCAGCAGCAGCGTAAACGCCGATACCAGTACCACGCCCGACCGCCTTTGTTTCCCAGTGTCGAGATGTTCGTACCGCAACAGGTACTTTACCAATTTAAGGCTGAGTTGCCCTAGAGGACGCCCAGGACCCCTTCGGATATCACTCGCCGCTGATGTTCGCCGTGGCCGTAGCGCGCGCGCGGTGCGCTGACCGCTGCGCCACCGTTCGTTCTCCACACTCACAAACGAACGGACACACACACACATATAACACACACACATATAACACACACAAATATTACACACACACATATAACACACACGCAAATATTACACACAACGATTACACACACACAAATATCACACACACACACGGAGACACAAGCACGCACACACAAGCGCACAGAAACACGCGTACACGCAAAAGACAAAAGTGCCTCGTGTAGCCGTGAGCACGCGTTGGGGCAAGGCACCTGTTAGCGAGCACCTATGAATTCGGTGCGTGATGGCCAACACCACGCCCGCCCGTCTTTGCCTCCCTCGTGGCGATGTTTACACACCGCGCCAGGTACTCATTTGAGGCTGAGTCAACCTAGGGGAGGGCCCAGGACCGTTTCAGACAAATCGGCAATGGGGGGGTCGCCGGGATCGTAGTGCAAGCAGTCGCTAGCCACGACTCGACCGCTCCCCGCACGCTCGCACTCACGCGCTCCGATAGCCCGCGCAGAGATAATCATCGGCGAGCAGAGAGGAGCACCTGCATGATAGGAGCGAGGAGAAACGCGCATTAGCTACACGCACGCACACACACACACACACTGGCACGCACACACACTGGCACACACACACGCACATCACACACACACACTGGCACGCACACACGCACACATCACACACACACGCGCGCGCGCGCAGACACGCAGACAGACAAGGCGGCTAATAGAAAGTGCTTAGCTGAATGCTAAATCATATTGCGGCCAGAAAGTGTTAAGAAAGAGCTTTGTTCGGCCAGTGTGCTCAACAGTGAGCACGTGTGGACTGTCGGCTCTCAACAGTACACTGCCTTCGTAACACGACGCGTGTTTACGCATTAATACGCGAGCGTGTGTGCGACGCTCTCCGCTTAATTGTACCCAACATAAGGATAACATACATACCGTACACACGTACGAGTTAATATATGTGCATTAAACCGACCTGCACGTATATATATGCAGGCGCATCTTATGATACGCACATCTTAGAGCACACGCGCGCACGCCTTGCTGTGTCTCTGCACAGCTTGCCTCGTGCATCCACACACGCACCCACAGCGATCTTTGTTATCCGACTTAAACACATGACATTCTGTGTCTGTATGTATATACTGCACGGTGCATACGTACGTCTCGGGCATACGCGTGCGCACATCCTACGCGTACACGATCTGCATAGCTCACACAACACAACACACACACACCCATGCATACCTTTCACTACTCTTCCACGACAAGAGAGAACAGCGAACAGGAGCTATGAAAATCAGCTACCCTCTCAACCACTCCTCCTCCTCCTCGTCGTCGTCCTCCAGCCTGGGCTTCACCCTGGGATACATTGACACAGCAGCAGCAGCCACTCAAAGCACCGACATCTCCCACCACCACCATCATCAGCCCGGGCCATCGCTGCTCTACCAGACCGCGACCTCCTCGGCGCTGGGCGCCCTCATCGCCTGCTCCATCGCGGGCAACGCTTTCGTGCTCGCCGCCATCTACCTGGAGCGCTCCCTGCAGACCGTGGCCAACTACCTGATCGGCTCCCTGGCCGTCACGGACCTGCTGGTGTCCGTGCTCGTGCTGCCCGTGGCCGCACTCTACCAGGTGCTGGGCCGCTGGACCTTGGGCCAGGCCGTGTGCGACGCCTTCATCGCGCTCGACGTCCTGTGCTGCACCTCCTCCATCCTGCACCTGTGCGCCATCGCGCTCGACCGCTACTGGGCCATCACGGACCCCGTGGACTACGTGAACAAGAGGACGCCCCGCCGAGCGGCGCTCATGATCGCCGTCACCTGGGCCGTGGGATTCTCCATCTCCATCCCGCCCGTGCTGGGATGGAGGCAGGCGGAGGACAGGGCCGACCAGGACGCTTGCAACATCAGCCAGCACCTGGGCTACACGATCTACTCCACATTCGGCGCCTTCTACATCCCGCTGGTGCTCATGCTGGTGCTGTACGGGAAGATCTTCGGCGCGGCCAGGTTCAGGATTCGCAGCACCATCAAGAGGTCACAGAAGAGACCCGCGGAGCCCACGGACGTGGTGGTGGTGGTGGTGTCCACCACGCCGGTGGAGTCCCCTCAACAATTGGACGGCGTCAATGGCGGTGGACGACCCGAGGAGTTGCCGGGGAAGGCAAAGTCGAGGTCGAATTCGGATCAGACGGTTCAGCAGCAGCAGCAGCAACATCTGAAGAAGCAAAGAAGCCTCAAGGATTCCATCAAGAAGTCCGTGATGGGCAAAGCGAGACACCAGAGCATCGCGTCCGACGGCGGATCAGAGAAACGTGGCAAGGTTGAGCAGTCTTTGTGCGTTCACGTTCCATCGTGCTCACGCATTGCACGCGCGTGTATTGAGTGCCTGTGGAGTGGTTGTCGCACTTCTGCTGAGAAAGCCGCCCACCCGAGTTCGATTGTCGCATCACGATCAGCCTCGGTCGCGAACAATTGAGCGGTCTCCCCGACGTTAACTACTCAGCCTTAAATGCATACCTCGTACAGTGTGCAAGCACTGGGGGGTACACAGGAGGCCGCGTGTAAGGATTGGCCACAACCACCCCTTCGCTAACAGCTGAGTCGACCTAGGGGAGGCTCAACCCCGGTTCATCTGTCACTTTCCATTGACATTACCCGCGGCTGGGAATTTAACTCAGGTGGCTGGGTTTGTAACGCGCTGCGCTAACCAGTGCACCACCGCTCCCCTTTGTCTTTGTTACACACAAAGACACTGAGGATCGTTGTCTTTGCGTTCATCCGCGTGTGTTTGTGTCTGCGTGTTCATATATTAAGCCTCGAATGAGTTCCTGGTGCGCTGTGCAGACATCGCCACTCGGGAGACAAAGACGGCCAGGCGTGGTGCTGGCCACCCACCCACCCCCTCGTGTGCTGTATCGGCCTCCATAGGGTGCTCGCTAACAGCACTTGCCGCCACAGTATGTTAATGGATATGCGGGGCATCTGTGACTTTGTGCTCGTGTACACGTGTGCGTCCATACAGGTGCGTGTTTGCTAATGACTGGGTGTCCAGTTACTCTTTGGGGAAACATCCTCATGAATGCGCGCACGATCTCATCAGATCTCGGAAGCAAAGCGGGATTTGAGCGTGTTGCTTTCGATGGTGGGAGACTGAAATGGGGAATTCTTAGGCTTTAAGTAGGCTTCAGCTGCGAGATGGCCATGGATACACTAGTCCAACCAGTGGATTATTGAATCCATCTGTGCGGAGCTTCGAGCGTCACCCACCCCGTGTATTGCTTAGTGGGGTCTCCGGATTTCTTCTCACGCGAAACCAAAGCACTCATTCGGAAAATTGGCCAAACATCTCCAATGCAGACTCTTAGGACATTCCTGAGTAAAAAGCATTTATTACACAGGCGAGAATAGTGATTAATAATCATGCAATGCGCCTTAAACGCATTACAATGTACGTATGGTTATTTTACTGCTTGTTATGATGAACGATACGCTAATTCATGGAATATCTGTGCTTGTGTTGAGCGAGACTTGTTTTGTCTGATGACACTGGTCAACACACTTTTTCTGACATAAGGTATTCCAACGGTATTAAGGTAATTTTGGGGTGCTGATTCCAAATCTGGCATCAGTTTTTGTCTATGACATCAGGTTTTTGAGATATCAAATATTGCATTTTCAATAAAAACTGCAGAAGAAAGATATTAAATAAATGTGGATATCTACATAAAATGATATTATAAACACACTATCCTAAAAATACAGCACCACATTTTAACACTAAAGCAGTCACTGACTCGCAACAACTTGCAATCATAAGTGACAGAGTTAATTTCGGGTAAAATAAATGAAAATGGGGTATGCCGATAGCATAAAAATGATGTGATAGAGCAAATCTGAGATCAGATTTGGAATCAGCACCCTAAAATTAGTCTAAAACAGCTGCAAAAGTCCAGGCCAGAAAAAAAATGTTTTTTTTTTGTTGACCAGTGTAATTATGGTTCTTCGTAACCATACACACACTATCCATGTTTTCCCAGGAAAGCCTCACTGTGTTTCAAGATTATTATATATTTTTTATCAGGAGCATCCTGCCCTGGGATATCTGGCCAATCCAATGTACCCTTCGAGTGTTTTCCAGTTAATCTCCCACGTATTTGTCTCACGTTTTCATATATATTTTGTTACATCAACAAACAAAAAGAGTGCCTGTCTCGAACCAAATCAAATTGGTGATCAAGCACTCCACAGTTCGCTCCTTTTGTACGTTCATTGGTGGCCAGTTGCCTCCTTATCACTCTTCTATTGCTACTAGCACGGTCTCCATTCGCATGAACGTCACTTGTCGATTCCATCACCGATGTTGACGACTCGTTCCAGCAAACACTGACAGCCTCGTCTCATTCACACTGTTCACACTCACCACACTGCAGGTCACAACAACACACTCACCCACTCACTCACCCACTCACTCACCCACTCACTCACCCACTCACTCACCCACCCACTCACCCACTCATCACACTGCAGTTCATAACAACACACTCACCCACTCACCACACTGCTGGTCACAACAACACACTCACCCACTCACTCACCCACTCACCCACTCACCACACTGCAGGTCACAACAACACACTCACCCACTCACCCACTCACCACACTACAAGTCACAACAACACATTCACCCACTCACTCACCCACTCACCACACTGCAGGTCACAACAACACACCCACTCACTCACCACACTGCAGGTCACAACAACACACTCACCCACTCACCCACTCACCACACTACAGGTCACAACAACACACTCACCCACTCACTCACCCACTCACCACACTGCAGGTCACAACAACACACTCACCCACTCACTCACCCACTCACCACACTACAGGTCACAACAACACACTCACCCACTCGCTCACCCACTCACCACACTGCAGGTCACAACAACACACTCACCCACTCACTCACCACACTGCAGGTCACAACAACACACTCACTCACCACACTGCAGGTCACAACAACACACTCACCCACTCACTCACCCACTCACTCACCCACCCACTCACCCACTCATCACACTGCAGTTCATAACAACACACTCACCCACTCACCACACTGCTGGTCACAACAACACACTCACCCACTCACTCACCCACTCACCACACTGCAGGTCACAACAACACACTCACCCACTCACTCACCCACTCACCACACTACAGGTCACAACAACACATTCACCCACTCACTCACCCACTCACCCAATCACCACACTGCAGGTCACAATAACACATCCACTCACTCACTCACCACACTGCAGGTCACAACAACACACTCACCCACTCACCACACTACAGGTCACAACAACACACTCACCCACTCACTCACCCACTCACCACACTGCAGGTCACAACAACACACTCACCCACTCACTCACACACTCACCACACTGCAGGTCACAACAACACACTCACCCACTCACTCACCACACTGCAGGTCACAACAACACACTCACTCACCACACTGCAGGTCAAAACAACACACTCACTCACTCACCCACTCACCACACTGCAGGTCACAACAACACACTCACCCACCACACTGCAAGTCAACACAACACACTCACCCACTCACTCACCCACTCACCACACTGCAGGTCACAACAACACACTCAACCACCCACTCACTCACCACACTGCAGGTCACAACAACACACTCAACCACCCACTCACTCACCACACTGCAGGTCACAACAACACACTCACTCACTCACTCACCCACTCACCACACTGCAGGTCACAACAACACACTCACCCACCACACTGCAAGTCAACACAACACACTCACCCACTCACTCACCCACTCACCACACTGCAGGTCACAACAACACACTCAACCACCCACTCACTCACCACACTGCAGGTCACAACAACACACTCACTCACTCACTCACCCACTCACCACACTGCAGGTCACAACAACACACTCACCCACCACACTGCAAGTCAACACAACACACTCACCCACTCACTCACCCACTCACCACACTGCAGGTCACAACAACACACTCACCCACTCGCTCACCCACTCACCACACTGCAGGTCACAACAACACACTCAACCACCCACTCACTCACCACACTGCAGGTCACAACAACACACTCACTCACCACACTGCAGGTCAAAACAACACACTCACTCACTCACCACACTGCAGGTCACAACAACACACTCACCCACCACACTGCAAGTCAACACAACACACTCACCCACTCACTCACCCACTCACCACACTGCAGGTCACAACAACACACTCAACCACCCACTCACTCACCACACTGCAGGTCACAACAACACACTCAACCACCCACTCACTCACCACACTGCAGGTCACAACAACACACTCACTCACTCACTCACCCACTCACCACACTGCAGGTCACAACAACACACTCACCCACCACACTGCAAGTCAACAGAACACACTCACCCACTCACTCACCCACTCACCACACTGCAGGTCACAACAACACACTCAACCACCCACTCACTCACCACACTGCAGGTCACAACAACACACTCAACCACCCACTCACTCACCACACTGCAGGTCACAACAACACACTCACTCACTCACTCACCCACTCACCACACTGCAGGTCACAACAACACACTCACCCACCACACTGCAAGTCAACAGAACACACTCACCCACTCACTCACCCACTCACCACACTGCAGGTCACAACAACACACTCAACCACCCACTCACTCACCACACTGCAGGTCACAACAACACACTCAACCACCCACCCACTCACCACACTGCAGGTCACAACAACACACTCACTCACTCACTCACCCACTCACCACACTGCAGGTCACAACAACACACTCAACCACCCACTCACTCACCACACTGCAGATCAAAACAACACACTCACCCACTCACTCACCCACTCACCACACTGCAGGTCACAACAACACACTCACCCACTCATCCACTCACCACACTGCAGGTCAAAACAACACACTCACCCACTCACTCACCCACTCACCACACAGCAGGTCACAACAACACACTCAACCACCCATCCACTCACCACACTGCAGGTCACAACAACACACTCACCCACCCACCCACTCACCACACTGCAGGTCACAACAACACACTCACCCACCCACCCACTCACCACACTGCAGGTCACAACAACACACTCACCCACCCACCCACTCACCACACTGCAGGTCACACCACTTAAATCTCTTTCGGCGTGTATGTCCCCACGCACTCGCTCAATTTTGCAATCCCCTCC